GAGGATCAACTGCAACGACCATAGAATGAAGAGACATGTGACTCAGAATCCTTGTTGTTACAGATCCCCTTCGCAATGAGAGACCATTTCTCACATCTTCAGGGAGTGCCCCCCGCGGCTTTCCTCTGGGCACGTAATGTGCAGACTGATCTGCAGGCAGAGTTCTTCAGCCTTCCTGTTGAGCTGTGGCTGCGGATGAATCTTTCTTGTGAAGATAGTTCCCCCTCAGGCGCTCCTTGGAATGCTTTTTTCAGCATCGCCCTCTGGGTCATTTGGAAGAACAGAAATGAAGGATGCTTCGGTGGGATGACCAAGACACTTTCTCCCCCGTCCCTCAATCAAGCGATTAAGAACAAAGCTGGCATGTGGCACCAAGCTTGGATAACGCCAATTGCTATTCCGGGACAGCCCGTTGCCCCTCCATCTCAAACGTTGGCAGCTATTGGGTGGAAGCCCCCTCCTGCAGGTTGGGCGAAACTCAATGTGGATGGTGCATCTGGAGGTACCCAAGGTCTCACAGGTGTTGGTGGCGTGTTACTGGATGCTGACAAGGTATGGTTGGGACGTTTTATCGCTAGTATGGGAACTTGCTCAGCTACGATGGCAGAGTTGTGGGAGATTTATCACGAGCTAGAGACGGCTTGGAACAAAGGCTATAGATTTATCATAGTAGAATCAGACTCCCAAACGACTATTCCTCTGATCACGAACAGGTCGGACCCTATTCACCCGTGTGCTACTCTCCTTGCTGCTATTAAGTGCAGGCTCACTCAGGATTGGGTGGTGAATCTAGTTCATCCCTACAGGGAGGGGAATAGAGTCGCGGACTGACTCTCGAAACACAGTCTCGTCTATCCATATGCCAGATATGACCTAGAGACTCCACCTGATGGGTTACACTCTCTTCTCCAAAACGACATCAGAGGCTCTACGATTGATAGAAACATTGTCCATCCCCCTCCCGCCGGTTCGGCGTAGCTCTTCCCTTCTCCCCTGCACTGTTTTTCTTTTCTTCGGCCCTGTGCCTCCCTTATTCAACAAAAAAAAATCGATGTTGTTACAACCCTAGCTCAATTTATTGTCGCCCCAATTTAATTTTTTTGTCAGCAAACCCAAGTGAGGCACGTGCGCCCCAATTAACTTAAAAGCACCATAGATTTGGAATTTTTTTTTACAAAAGATAATCATATATTTGATTGAACAAAGATCAGTACAACCTGGAATATAACCAAGTAGCAAAATCAAAATTGCGAAAGGAAGCCGGGTATAATGTAAGGGCCCTTCTAACCACCAAATGGGATACCCTATTACTACTCCGACCTGCAAATCGCACACTAAGCCCTGAATGAAGCGCAAAATACGGCACAATCTCCTCCAGAATGACGCCCATCCGAATATCCCGAGTGTTTGCTTGATTGATCTTATCAATAACAACCTTGGCATCTCCTTCAAAGCAGGTCGTCGAGAAGCCATGGGATAAGCACCAGATAATAGCCTCCCTAAGAACAAGCGATTCAATGACCATGTGATCATCCACTCCAGAAAACTGGACCCCCTTAACCATGAGAACCCGTCCACCTTGGTCCCTAATAATCATTCCACCAGCCTAATGCAAGCCCCGCCTCGTAGAACCATCCCACTGACACACCACCGCAGAAGGATGCATCCCTATAGGCGGAGGGGAGGGATGCCTAGGAGCACAGGACGGCGACAGATTAATCCATTCCTGACATTGTTAATGAAATTTCCTCAGTAGGGTCGGGCTCCCAAATTGTTTGCCCTCAAAGACAACCCAATTTCTGGAATGCCAAATCCTCCAAAGGACTGCCACAACTGCGATGAACAGATGTTGTTGATGGATCAAACCCATCAACTTCTTCAGGAAGTGAGGGAACGTGTGCCTAGGAAGACCCTGACCAAGATCGGTGTGCCCTGCGTGATCCCATAATGCCCTTAACACTAGACAATCAAAAAACAAATGTTCCATTGTTTCTGATTCAGCACAGCATATCAGATATCTAGGAAGCACCTGAATCTTCCTTTCTATGAGTGCTTCCGTCGTTGGCGGGATCCGGTGGAGTATTTGCCACAAGAAAACTTTTAATTTAGGTTGTATATTGGCATCCCACAAATGAATCCAGCTAGCCGGTCCATCCAGCTTGCCGAAGCTCGCCAACGCCCACTTTGCTTATCCAGTACGACATCGAGGTGGTAGGCAGATTTGACAGTGAAAACCCCATCACTGGTGTCATGCCAAATGAGCTTATCCGGGAGATCTTTGATGGCCCGACAAGTGGGTGGATCAAACCAATGAGACAGTTTGATATCACACCACCGCCCGCCCCCCGGATCCAGAATTTCATCAACTCTGGGATCCCCATCCCCAAAGAGCACGATTGGGTTGGAAACAGGGGACTGCGAGTGTAACGCAGGGACCCAACTAGAGCTTAACAAGGGTGTCGTCTGCCCTTTACCAATCTGCCACCGAAGTCCCTTAACCACTAACTGGCGACCATAAAGGATTCTTTGCCATCCCCAAGAAGGATGAGAGCGCGCAGTCGCGGTTAAGAACGTTCCCGTGGGGGTAATATTTCCCTTTATACACTTTGGCCAGCAGGGAATGGGGATCATTCAAAATATTGAAACCAATCTTTGCGAGAAGGGCCTGATTAAAATGTTCAAAGCGCCGGAAACCCATGCCGCCATCATGTTTACTTCGACACATATTGTGCCAGGAAAGCCACAGTACTCGAGAGTTCCCCTCAGTCTCCCCCACCAGAATCGAGCCACATGTCGATCAAGGAGTCGACAAAGAGCAAGGGGAAGCTTGAAACACGTCATAACATGTAATGGCAAGGCCAAGGCTATAGATTTAATCAATGTCTCCTTAGCCGCCCAAGAGAGTGTCCTTTGCTTCCAGCCTTGCAAGCACTCAAGCAATTTAGCCTCCAGAAAACAGAACGTAGCAATTTTGGATTGGGAAATTAAAGAAGGTAGCCCAAGATATTTATCGTGCACCCCCACAGCTCCTACGCCCAAAACCTGGTCCAGAAATTCTTGGTCCGACTGAGAAACATTCTTACTGAAGCATACTGCCGACTTTGCCAAGTTAACCCTCTGACCACTTAACTCCTCATATTCATTCAACACCTCAATTCAGTTCTCACACTCCTGTAGAGACCCTCTGAGGAAAAGATAGGAATCATCCGCAAAGAAAAGATGCGAAATCCTAGGGGCTCGAGGGGCAACCTTCACCCCTGCTAGCTTTCCCTCATCAATAGCCCTCCACAGAAGAGCCGCAAAACCCTCCGTGCAGATAACAAAAAGGAGGGGTGATAGTGGGTCCCCTTGACGAAGCCCCCTAGAAGGGGAGAAGTAACCAGAGGGCATGTCATTCATGAGGAGCGAGAACGAAGTCGAGGTAAGACATTCATGGACCCACCTGCGCTAGGTATCATTAAAGCCCAGCTTATCCAAAACCGTCATAAGAAATGGCCATTCCACTCTATCATAGACCTTTTCCATGTCAACCTTTAGAGACATGTACCCTTTCTTACCACGGGTTTTGATTTTAAGATGATGCATGAGCTCATGCCCTAGCAAGATTTTTTCCACAATTTGTCTTTCCCGAATGAAAGCATTTTTCCCCTCGGATATGATCTGGGGAAGCAAGCAAGCTAGCCTCTCCGACATGAGTTTAGTGATGATCTTATACACAAACTGGCAGAGACTTATGGGTCGGAGTTGGCGCATGTTCTCAACGTTGTCCACTTTAGGGATCAGCGTGAGTTAGGTGGGGTTAAAGCTTCGGAGGAGTTTATTAGTCCAAAAAAGGAACAAAAAGCTTCTGTAACAGAGTTCCCCACAATATCCCAATAGGACTTAAAAAAACTTCCTTGCAAAATCATCCGAGCTCGGAGCTTGCTTAGAGCCCATAGCAAACACAGTTTGGCGAACCTCACTAGGGAGGTGTCACTTTCCGATGAATTGGTAATTCGGTCACCCTAGCTTCCATGTTCATAATTTTGTTTTTGGAAGTGAAGAGGTGTTGATAGAAATCAGTGGCGATGTCTGCCTTCCCTCTCTTGTCTGTAACCCAGAGACAAAGTTACATTTCCTTCTTGTATGCGTCACCGCATGGAAGTAGGAGGTATCCTTATCACCCTTTTTTAACCAGTGAACCTGCGACTTTTGTTGCCAGTATTCCTCTTCCGCTTCCCATTGCCGATTCAACTCAAATTCCAGCTGGCACACTTCATCCCAGTTTATTGGATGGATTGCTTTGACTCTGTCGATTTCCAACTGCAACGTTTTGATGTTAAGCAAAGAATTGGTCATACCGGCCCGAATCCAATCATAGAGTAGGTGGCAGAGTTTTTTCAACCTTTCCCAGAGTTGATACATGAGGTTGCCGGAGATTTCTTCTTGCCAAACATACGAGACCATAGCGCGAACCTCCGGATTTTTTAGCGCAACGGGCATCAAATCGAAAGAGAGTTCTGCAGTTTCAAACAAAGGGGTTGTCCAATAGGAGTAGAGCACGATGGTCAGAACCCTGGTTCGTAAAATGCTTCACCAGGGTATCTGGGAAAAGGTCAATCCATGTCTGGGAACACAATGATCTGTTCAACCTCTCTCTAATGCAGGCAGAACCCATGCGTCTATTTGTCCATGTGAAAGGGTCACCTTAGAACCCAGGGTCATGGAGACCCAATTCAAGGATAAAATTTTGGAGACCGAGGGATTGGTTAACATTCCACGGTTTGCCACCATCCTTTTCACTTGCATTCAGTGTCACGTTAAAGTCACCTATGACCACAAAGGGTAAATGGATATCTTCGCAAATGGTACGAAGTTGAGCCAACTGCATGGCTCTTATTGGTTCCGAACAACTAATATAGACGCAAACCATGACATAAGAAAAGTCCATCTCATTAACTTGAATAAAAATGGAAAAATCCGAATGAAACAACACCGAAGTATGAAATCCGGGGGACCAACCTGCTACAAGACCACCCGATGCATTAACCGCATCAACAAAAAAACAACAAGAAGACTCAAAACCCAAACCCCGCATGCGACGGGAGACAACTTTCCGAGAGGATCTTGTTTCTGAAAAGAACACAATCTTCGGATTATTCGAGAGAATTAGACCTACAGCAGTTTGGAATATGAGGGAGGGTCCAATTCCCCACACATTCTAGGCCAGTAGCCTCATTTATCCTCTTGGGGCCACTCTAGGTTGGCTTCCTCCACCTTATCATCATCATTAGCGGTCACTTCCACAAATTGTCGCTTTGGAGAAGGGCTATCATCAATGGCCCCTATCGCCTCCAAGAGATCTAGCTTCCTTCCCCCTGTCTCCACACCATTCATATTGGTACCATACTCATTTAGCTTCATAACCATGGTCACCTCATCTTCACTTGGGGATCGAGGAGGTAGCATAGATACTTGACGATTAGGTTCTTATTTCCGATTATCAATATCTCCCCCATTGGCTAGCTGACCATTTTCAAAAATTTCCACTACCTGACGGACATGGCCATTACGCCGGCGCAGTTCATAAGGATGTGTTGCCGAAGGTGAGATTGGGCTGGTAACCCCATTATACGACAACGTCTCTTCAGAATTCGTGAGGGCCTAGCTTGCGGGCTTCCCACCAACGAGAATGGGGTCTCATTTTTGGTTAATGTGGGTCGGAAAGGACCCATCAGCGGCATCCTCATTTTGGAACTCTGGCATCCATTCTTCCTCAGAGTCGTCCGCCAAGAGCTGCATCATCTGCGACCGTTTCAACGTCTCTTGCTGGGCTTTGGCAGGGAACTTGTACCAGCAGAAGGTCGACGAGGCATATCCTGCTGATGAACAGAGGGTTGGGTAGGGGGAGCTGGTGGAATGACCTGCCTAGTACACCCAGTCCAGCGGACCACGACCCTGGACTGGCGGCATCGGGATCTCCCCATCATCGTCTTCCTGAAGCAGTAGCCGACGGCTCCAAGTCGGACGAGCAGCAGTCCGATCTGAGCGAGCCTCAACTGGCAGCGCGGCGGGTTTCTGTAAATCTTGATGGTTCCTCGCTAATTTCTTGGACCGCTGGCCTGAGCTTTGAAATGAGTTTGGTGGCGCCAATCATGCTAGACGCAACCCCACGGTGATTTTTATCCGCCAATTCATCCCGCCTCCTACCAAAAGCAGCACCCCGAGTAACACCCCCTGTCCCATTGTTCACAGCTCGCTTCTGTCCCTGGAATTGCGTAATCTATGGTGCGCGAGCAATCGGGAATCCCTTTGGACTCTTCGCACGGAGATCAGGCTTCATCCCAGCCGGCGAGTGACAGGCCGCTTGAGTGGTCCCATCCAAATGCCCCCGTCTGGTCGGAATTTCAGAGTGCACACCATCAGTGGTCGATCGGTGGGCAGGGAGCGTGAGGTTAGGGGCTGTTCGTTCTTTGTTAACCCTGACCGTCTTTGGAGGGCCACGAAACGGTGGCCTGTCATCAGTTTCATCATAGATTTTGATCCCCACCTTTTTAGTAGTCATATGGGGGCCGAATTTTTCCTTTTGGGAGGGGGGTCAAAAATGCAAGATCGATTAGTGTGTGCCACTCTTCCACAGTGGAAGCAAAATCTCGGAAGGTATTCGTACTTCAAAATTACCAAAAAATAGCCCGTTTCGTCACTTGTTGCCATAATTTGCGATCGCAGAGGCTTGGTGAAGTTAATTAACGCCTTCACCTTAACAAACCCACGATCGGTGTCTTGGCAGGCGAACACCCCAGCTTCCATGACCTTCCCAATCTTAGTATCAACCATCTTTCATCCAAATTGATGAGTGCAGCAATCGGTCGGGATGTCCCACAATTGGACACGGAATGGAGCTACCGCAAGATCATCAAAGAGTCGCATGGTGACGTATTGGGACCAGGTTGTTAGGTGGATAATTTTTTCCTTCAACACCCATGGTGCCCTTTTCAGGACGCATATTTTCGAGGCTTCGCATGGGAGACCAAATTCGAACAGGCCGAAGCGAGCTTCTGACACCCTAATTTGATCTTTGCATTACCACGGGACATTGACTGCCTCGCAAAGCTCGACCATCGTTAGCTTGCTGTCCGTTAAGACCCGATCGAGAAGCCCTGAAAGTGGCCGATTGAACCTCTTCCATAGAGAATTGGACGATTTGATCTTCCGTCACATGTGCCATTGCGTTAACCTGGACAATCAAAGGAGTATTAAATTCATAATTCCAGGAGACCACGTTCTCTCCGACTTGGAACGTAAGAGAAGAAGGATGGGTCTTAGGGAGGCGATATGGCCATGCAGGGTACGTGGGATGCGAAGGGATTTTCAAAAGAAAATCTGGAAACGCAGCAGTAAAAAGATGCGTACGAGGACGGGAATGGCTTTTAGCCTGCACACTTTTACCTGAGCGATGCTGAGTGATGATCCCTATAGCGTGTATCTTCCTACCCCACTGGCTGCCGAAATTGAGAAGAGGGCAGATGGGAGAGTAGCATGCTTTTAAAGGGGACGCCAATCTTAGAGTCCTGCCCCAATTAGGTAGCAGATGGGAGTCTATCTCCATGAAGGATTGTACCAGGGGCGGATTGCATACGGTTAAAGATATATTATCCAATATCTTATTGTTAAACCGAAACTGAAAACCCCCTAGCGAAAGATCCGGAGAAGATTGGCCCAAGGAATCAACGGCTAAGCCATTACCGTGATCATGTGGCATTTGATCACTTGAAACCCTACCGTTTGTCAGATTATCCTCGTCGGACTTCGACGTCATAATCGGAGTCTCTGCCGCCGGTGTAGGGCTAGTAATAGATGGGTCTACTGTGGGAGTCTGACCACATCCAGTGAACGACCATTGTTGGGGGTCGGCCGTTCTTTTCTTCCGATTAGATGGACAGGGTACGTTACTGACCCATCCTTCCTTGTCGAACTCTGATTGAGATGGAATTAGAAATCTCCACACCGCCACAACCAATGAGTAGGATCTTCTTTTTTCTTGAAAATAAGAGGCGGATCACAATCTTCAGAGGCCTCTTGATAAACCATATCCTCAGTTTCGAGGATCAACCCTATCTTTCTTTTGCCCGTAGAGTAACTTGGTTTGCGGGGGAGATCACTTCGACGATGCCGAAATCGTTCCGGTAGGGCTATGCCATTTTCCGTTCTGGTGATGCATCCAGATCCTCACATGCGAGTGGTAGGCGGCCATCATGGCTTTCTTTCTCAATTAACTCCCATATTCTGAAGACTAACCTGAAGCACGACGAGGGTCGCCGAGAAAAGACATCGACGAAGAAACCGACAGAAGCTTAGGAGAGAGGAGAGAGCTCTCCTCATCAAATTGGAAATATTTTATGAATAGTTTCATATTGGGAAATTATTTTAAAAAATACAATATATTAGTAAAAAACCCTTTTTCAATTCCGTCTCGGTTTCGAGGAATTTTACAATGCTATATAGTATTGGTGCTATAGATTTTTGCTTTATTGTGCAACTTGAAGTTGTACCTATATTATTTTGTGGTAAAGCTTGAACTTGTACCTTTATGTGATACAACTTTAACTTGTAAAATTGTACCACATCCTGAACTTATACATTTAACTTTATAGTATAATTTCAAGTTGTACATTAAAGCACCAATGCTTTAGAGCATAGTAGAAGTGCTCCTTAGTTCCTGTTCGTAAGATCGAGGCGATTGAGAGACCTAGGGATGACAACAAAACCCAAACCCACGGGTACCCTGCCCGATCCAACCCGCGTTTACGGGTTTTGAGCCGGGTTCGAGTTTAAACCCGCTACACTATTCACGGGTTGGGTTTGGGTTTAGGTAAACCCGCCCCATGGGTACATGCCCACACCCATATAATTAATTTTTACGATATATTTAATATTCTAAACAATATATATTCCTTAAACAACTAATCTTCTTTATGTTTGTGGAGACATGTCTAATTTGTTATTTCTAATTGTGTAGAATGAAATTGATATTATGGAGTGGAGAGTAAAGAAGCTTAGTTGACGAGGAAGAAGCTTTCAACATGATATAGAGTAAATATTATTAATGTGAACTTAGGACACATTATAAAACTATTGCACATGCGATTCCTCTTCATTTGAGGAGTTTAAGGTAGAACATGATCTGAATGAATAAGAAGTCATTTTTAAATATATAAATAATAGTAAAGTTAACAATTTAATTCATTAAATACGATATTAAACGTTTTATACGGATTTTATAGGTGTTTAATGCGAAAGCAATCAAATGAACGGAAAATATGAAACGGATTGACAATAATACGAATACGAAAGTTTAAACAAATAAATTACATACGGGTACATATACGTAAATTAAACAAAATATTTACTAACTATGCTAATAAAGGCTCATTGCTAGGTTGCTGTGCATCAGAACCACACCAGCCATCATATGTTTTAAGTCATAAAGTAGCACCAAAAGGGGTTTGGTTTGTCATTCTTCCTTGTGGTTGCTAATATTTTCTGTTAAAGTATCTTTTTTACGATTGCTCATGATCTTTTGTTCATGAAGCTGTAATTTATTTATCCTTTGTTTAGTGTAGGATGAAATCCAAAATACACATGTTTAAAAAAAAATTCAAAATACACACGTTATGAAAAAATTCCCAAAATACACATCTCTGGCCATCACTGCGGTTGTCAACCGCAGTGAATGCATTCACCGCGGCCGACGAAAGCGGTGAGTGCATCACCGCGGTTGACGGCCACGGTGAATGTCTGACCTAACACTGAAACTTCAAACGAACGTAATTTTGCGCTCGGTTATCCGATTGTAGAGAATTTTTTTTTATTCCGCATAACTTTTCAAGATCTTCAATCTGCAACAAACGTTCATCGCATTTTGGGAACTTTTTTTGGAAAATTTTTTGATGTATTCACCGCAGTGATGGTTAAACATGTGTATTTTGGGAAATGTTTTTATAACGTGTATATTTTAAAAATTTATTTAAGAACATGTGTATTTTGGGATTTTTTTCCACACATTGGGGAGGATGATGCCGTTGATACATTCGTCTTGAATGGGATGCTGAGAGTATAGATAGATAGATAACATTCACAAATCACAATGGATCAGTGGTTCGCCAGTTTGCCTCTCAAAGGAGTTAAAAGGTCATTTAGTCCATCACTTCTGAATAAATGTTTGTTGTGTGTATATATAATTCTCGAGTGTCTTGCTCTCTTGTATCTAGATGTTCTGGGCTGAACTGAACCATTGTTGCACCATAACCCCAACTGTTTTGTATTTAGCTTTTTTATGTTTTTCTTTTGGATTCTGAGGATTTAGTTTCTTATGCTTGTTTCTCGAGGTGTACTACCATAACTAAACTGTTCTTTTATAGTTACCTTGTGAATTTTCTGGTTTGTAACAATTATGTAATTAGCCGTTTGGGTTTTTTTCTCAATGTTGTGTTTATTCGAATGGTACCGGTTACTATGACAACATCCCTTGTGTTGTTATTGTAACAACACTAGTCTCCAACCAATAGGAAGATAGGATTGTGATGACTTTTTATTAGATGAGTTGACCTAGTGTAAAATCAAAGCAGGGGTATAATTGTCATAATGAAAAATCTGTTTAAATAATAAAAAAAAGTAAAAAAATTATTATTTTTTTATTTTCTGCAAAAAAATTTGGTCCCCGGAGTTCTGACACCGGTCGCCGGAAACTGGTCGCCGGTCACCGGAATATGCTATTTGTCGCCGGAATATGCTTACCGGCGCCGGAATCTAGTCATCGGGGCCGGAATATGCTTATCGGCGCCGGAATCTGCTCACTGACGGTCACCGGAGTTCGGTCAACGGTCTTCATTGACCGGTCAACGGTCAACAATCACCGGATGTTATGGTTAGCATTGTGAGATTTATGGTTTGGTTTCTCATATCTTTTTGTCTTTTGTGGTTTGCTTTATCGTGTTTGTAGTTTGCATTGAGAAGTTTCTGGTTTGCTTTCAAAAACTTTGTGGTTTGCATTGTGAGGTTTTTGGTTTGTTTAAATATATTTGTGGTTTTCATTAGGACGTTTATGGTTTGCTTTTTTGTGGTTTGATTTACTGTGTTTGTGGTTTGCGATAGGAGGTTTCTGGTGTGCTTTCACAAATGTTGTGGTTTGCTTTGTGAGGTTTGTGGTTTGTTTTAGGAGATTTGTGGTATGCATTAGGAGGTTTCTGGTTTGCATTAAGAAGTTTCTGGTTTGCTTTCAAAATATTTGTGGTTTGGTTTGTGAGGTTTGTGGTTTGTTTTAATATATTTGTGGTCTGCATTAGAACGTGTTTGGTTTGCTTTACCGTGTTTGTGGTTTGTATTAGGGGGTTTCTGGTGCGTTTATAAAAATATTTGTGGTTTGCTTTTTGAATTTTTTGGTCTTTTTTAGGCAATTTGTGGTCTGGATTAAGAGGTTTCTGGTGTTTTTTATATGCTTTACGGAATTAGTGGTATGCATTAGGGATTTCTAGTATGCATTAAAAATACTGAATGGCTAAACATTACACTAATTTTACTATTATTGCACTAATTTAAAGTATACAATTACTCTTACTAAAAAAAAGTATACAATTACTAAAATTTCCTTTAACACAACCAAAATTGACAAAACAAACAAAGCCTTAAATCCCTAAATAGTCATCTTCGTCAAAACAAAGTGGCTAAACTCCCTCCGCCGCTGCACTCCAAGCGATTTCCACTGCTGACAGGCGATCACCTCCAACCGACCCTTCACCGCGGACAACGACCCTCCTCTTTCTTGCCGCCATCATGGTCCTCCATCAGCACCCCCCTCCTCTATACTGCCGCAATTAGGCATGGTTCAATCATGAAGTTGCGGGTGATCAGGATTTTGAAATCCTACGAACACAGTGGTCGGCGGTGGGCAACACCATGGGGCGGAGGGGGTTGAGTCTGATTTTTATAGAGATCCAGAACAACTTGATTGTGTTGAGAGAAGTGGATGATTTGGCTAAATCGTGGTTGGATGGTTGCTGAATTTATCGAGCAGCCAGAGGGCCCAGATTAGTGGCGATTGCAGGCGCTATTGGAGGGATTGCGGCCGTCGTTGCTGTCCCTGGAGATACGGGTTATTTTTAAACATCAAGATCAGGGATCCATCATCACTTTTCATTGCCGGAGATCGGGTTTGCGATTGTGAGGAGCTGCTTGAGGGTTGTGATTTGGTGGAGATTGCAGGGACAAGCAAAGTGGAAGTCGAAAATGCAAAGTTGAGAGCTGAACTTACGTCTAAGATAGCCCTCATCTGTTCTCTCGGCTCAAGATAGGGTGCATAACCAAATCTGGACCCTTCATTTAGAAAATCCAGATCTAAGGATGGAGAATTAAAGACTATTTTTATTTACACTAGCTTTCTTAATTGACTCATATCTTTTTCGTTTTAACTCGGATTTTAATTTTTTTTGCACAGATGGAAAGAGTTCACCGTGCTCTACAAAATGAGATCAATTTTCAATATTTTTTTAGGAAGAAAAAATTCTGGCCTCTCGGTACCAACTGCATACCATATTAATTTAATTTTTATTTTATTAAATATATGAGTATATTTACCCTTATACTCTTAATAAATCCTGTTGTTAGTATAACAACACTTAAGGTGTTGTTATACTATCCGAACCCTATTCGAATCTTATATTGTATGAAGGATGTCAATTTAGCACCAACAAGTTGTATGCAGGATTTAAGTTTCGCAGGGGCCGAAGTTGTTGTATCGTAATAGCAAAAGGATTAATAGTTTTTTTTATTATAAAGGCATAAAATATTATTAGAAATAATCAAATCACTCTAATCTAAAGTTTATACTATGTTATGTTTAATATAAATGAGAAAACTACGAATAAAAACAAATTATGCATTTCAATGTTTAGCATGTTTTTTCAAAATTTCATGTTTGGAAAATGACCATCCATCGTTGTAAATAGATCACACGTTCATTTGCCAATCGTTCGTGAGTTGAACTCTCTCCGTTCTTATGTACAACACATGATCTAGTTTCGAGATGAGATTTTTCCAAAAATAGCACTGTTTAAAAAAAATTTCCAAAAATAGCATCCAACTCCGAAAAATTCCAAAAATAGCACCCTTTTTGTAAAACCGCCACCCGGAGGTGCGTTTTTCGATGAAAACCGCACTGGTAGGGGGCGGTTTTGCAGACCGCACCCCCACCATGCGGTTTGGTTGCAGACCGCACCCAACGATGCGTTCTGTTTTTTTTTTTTTTTTTTTTGAAAAATCCTAACCTAGGTGAAAACTTCAAATGAACGTATCTTTATGTTCGGGTATCCGATCGTCGCGATTTTTTTTTATTCTGCATAAATTTTTGAGATCTTGCAAGCCGAAGACTGCCAAAGGTGGTTTGGTCTGTTGCCTTCGTCCCAAAAAATGTCGTTTGCTACCCCGAACGAACTTTTTTCCGATTTCGTCAAACTTTGGACAACCATAACTTTGTGCTCCAAAATCCAAACGGCATGAATTTTTTTTTTATTTCGCATAAATTTTTAAGGAATACAACTTTTATCATAGACATAATTTCAAAATGTACGTGGATTGCTGAGAAGGGAAAATAAGCTATTCTCAAAATCCTGTATATCCAAAAATAATTCCTGTTTTGAAACTTCATTCCTAGTAAAAAGTTTAGTCCTTAAAAAATTAAGCGAAATAAAAAAAAAATCATGTCGTTGGATTTTGGAGCACAAAGTTACGGTTGTCCAAAGTTTGACGAAATCGAAAAAAAAACTCGTTTGGGGTAGCAAACAACATTTTTTGGAACGAAGGCGGGACAAAACCACCTTTGGCAGTCTTCGGCTTACAAGATCTCAAAAAGTTATGCGGAATAAAAAAAAATCGCGACGATCGGATACCCGAACATAAAGATACGTTCGTTTGAAGTTTCCACCTAGGTTAGGATTTTTCAAAAAAAAAAAAAAACAGACCGCATCTTGGGGGTGCGGTCTGCAAAACCGCATCTTGGGGGTGCGGTCTGCAAAACCGCACCCTACCAGTGCGGTTTGCATCGAAAAACGCGCCCCGGGTGGCGGTTTTCGCCTAAACCGCTGGTACGGGTGGCGGTTTTGCAAAAAGAGTGCTATTTTGGAATTTTTCGGAATTGGGTGCTATTTTTGGATTTTTTTTTTTAACAGTGCTATTTCTGAAAAAATCTCTTTCCTCTTAAATTATTGTTGAAAATTTTAATCAAATGTATGACCAAAAAAATAGTTAAGCATACATATTTAAAAGTTAAAGAACTTGATTGAGCTAGTTTAAAATCACAAGACAAGCATAAATTGTACAATGCAAAGAAGTTCTAAATAATTGTCATTCACCCGAAGTCATGGGTTCATACACATAGTTTAAAAACACAAAACAAGTATAACTTGTAAAATGCAAAAACTGTTCTCAATGAAAGCTTCCACCAGAATCGAACCAGGGATCATTGGAGTGAAAGTTCTAAACAATTGTCATTCACCCGAAGCCATGGTTTAATATACATAGTTTAAAAACACAAAACAAGTATAACTTGTAAAATGCAAAAACTGTTCTAAATGAAAGCCTTCCACCAGAATCGAACCAGGAATCATTGGAGTGAAATACAAATTTTCTCCGTTGACTACCATCATCTCTTATTCTATTCCTCGCTCACGAATATATTTAATATATACCTTAAATTTATACGTAATTTTTCTAAACCGTAAAAAAAATTGTATGAGAATTCTCGGGGCCCACCTAGTTCCGCCCATGGTTGTATGGAACGGTTCCCCTGATGGCCTGATATTAATGCCTGCAAAATCATGTCTCACTGCTACTGCTAGTGTATATGCGGAAGAAAGATGGAACAAAACCAGCTGAGATAACCAGTCATCGGTCTGCACAAGTCATTGCAATAACTGTGGCGGAGCTGAAAGTTCCGCAAAAGCTGTAAAGGGTCTAGCAGCTCCAGTCGTGGCGTGCTTATTCACATGTACCAATGCTCGATGCGAGGCTCTGTTTGCAATCCGAAAGCAAGGCAGGTGACATTTTTGCTAGAGAGATAGAAGCACAAACAGATCACATCAACGAATATCACAGCATCTCCCTCCAACATTCTGTCTTACAGGCACCTCAAACGAAACTTGGTGTCAGAAAGCAAATGAAACATTTTACAGAGATAGACTGTCAATGGCTTTCCATTCAAACTGATGGGATTTGGCGTGAAATCCTCTATGGCACAACAAACGCATGTTTCTATTGGAGAGACATCAGATCTCATCGTGCCTCGAGTTGTGCCTCAGCAGCCTATCAGACTCATTCCGATATCCATTCTGTATCGGTGTTACTTCTGCATCTTCAAGTCGCGACTTCTGCTGTTGAGCAGTGGGGGAACTGGTGAGAGCCGTTGCGGAGAGACCAGGTTCACCTGATTGTCGACTTCAGCACTGGTTGACGGTTTTGTCCCGTTGGTGACAAGGTTCTTGAACCAAGTTGCTTGAACCCTAGGAGATCCTCCATTCGAGTTTCCAGGTGATTCAGGAGTAGAACCATTGTTGGATGCCACGCCTAGAAGAAAACGATAGGCTACCTTGCTAGCTGATACAATCTCAGTTTTAGCTTGTCTGAACTGCAAGCAAAGTGATGCAAACACACAATTGCAATCAATCGCTCTATCTTGTAAAAATATTAGACCCACAGTTACTAGCAATGAGAGGATGAACAATACGAGACATGTTAGAAGGATAAAGCAGCACACATGCAGTCTGAAAACACGGGGGTCAATCGATCAAAGCCTAGACACTACAGACTGTGATAGTCTGCACTCTAATATGATAAGATTGAATCAAAGTACTGAACCCGCACTGTAAGCTACTTCCATGTCCAAGAAAAATAAGCTGGAAATGTTACAGAGAAGAGGGAACTGGAAAATGGGATCTTACTCTTAAGGCTGTGGTTCCAGCTATTTCAACAGCAGCATCCCCAGCATTGGCAAATCGGTTCACCCAACCTGTGAATAAGGTGAAAACAGAAAGAATGTCAAATTTGCATGAACTGACTCCTGGATGGTTGAGAAGGGGACAAACATAAGGCAAAGAACTAGGTTCATGATCTAAACAAAAGTCAATTCCTTCTAAACATTTCAGCAAAGAAGATGCCGGTTAAATCTTGAGAGGATCTGTGCGTATTCACCCATCCCATTCATATTTACTTAAGATCAAGGTACAGCACAATTCAAGTTTATATTTACGAGAAAGGCGTTAGTGGACTTCCCTAATAATTTTTAAATCACACACCATTCAAAGGAACCCAGAAAAACATGCAGTTAAACAACAGAAGACAAGGGCAGATGGAACTTTCCAGTGAACAGAAAGCTCCAGTTGTTTCTCCGCCTATCTTAAACAGCCACTAAAGCATATAACTGTGCACCCATCATAACTACACATTTCAGCAAAACAGACATTAAATGTATAGTAGCCAACAACAATATCAAGCTTTTAAAGGAGAGGATATTACTAGCAAGTATAAAAGATCATATACCTGGAAGCTTTGGGACTCCCAACTTCTCACAGAACTCATCACAGAAGTGATTACAGTTCTTGGCCAACAAATCATAAGAGCTTCCAGGCCACTCCCTACTAAGTTCACGAAGGATCTGATTCACTTTATAGATTGAGAAATTGGTTCTTCCAAGTATAATGCTTTCACGGTAAGTATACATTGGGTTCTTTCCTGACGGGCAACTAAAAACTCCCGTTCCATGTTCACAAAAGCCAAATGACCATTCATCTTCTCCATACACCTGTCACAAGGTGCGAACAACTCAATGATCTATAAGCAATTCAACATTAGTGCAAATAGACAGATACCTTCATCATTGTAGAAGGGTCTTGCATATACAACTTATAAGAATACGTCATTACAGTATTATGTTACGAACTCTGAATTGATTATTATATTGGTCTTATTCATTAGTTGATGCGTTTAACTAATAGCTTCATTTCTCACAATCTTCTAGCAAGTTCAGTTTCTAATATGTTAGACGTTCTGTTGCTGGCAAGATGGGTTTAATTTAGAAATCCATATAAAAGGCATGGCCATTGTACTGATTCTTGCCTAGGTCTATACTCTATATTGCCTGTCCATACGTTCTCCGTTGCCTTAACTGTAATACCATACAAGGTTGAGGCATAACACATACAGCATAGGAAAAATAACAACAATAATTTTTGCCAGGGATGGGAAACATTGTGGTGAAAGGTTTGAACGACTTAACGATCTCAAAATACCTCATTGTTCTATCCATTCTAGTCCTCAACCATCTCACCACTCCTGATATCCACTTCCAAAATCTAAGCAGGTGAGAAAATACCTACTCATTGACCATAAACTATTCCGCAGCCTAACCATGCAACCCAGCAGCTATTGGAACCATCAACCAACTGTCATCAATGAACATCACCAACACACTCACTAGCTTCCAATGTCATCAAAATTCAGCAACAAGACCAAGGCACAAACCTGAATAAGCATTCAATTATCTATAATAACATTGTCGGCCACTGCATCTACCAAAATTCATCGTGTAATTTGACTCCGGTGTCTACTCAGAAAGTCTACAAGACATTACGAACTACATGGCCATTCCAGTTTACAGAAAACCTCACGCCATAGAAAAAGCACGACACGATTCTACATCCACAAAGCGAAGCCCAAAGTCTCACTTACAACACTCCACTAGTACACATACTCCATCAAAACACAAAAGAATCACAGTGCCGAGATCAGTTTTCTGAGTTCCTTTTCCCTCAGAGCCCAAGATCTTGTCTAGAACAACTCTCTTGCAGAAAATCAACAGAACGCAGATATAAACTGTTCAGCAGCAAGCCATAAGGTTATGCGAACAGTAGTACACTACACTTCAATTCGGCAGAAAAGGCGATTGAGAGTGAGAGAGAGGAAAAGAAGGAGAACCTGAACAGCACTGTGAAAGATGCCGCCGATGCCAATACCGTCCTTGAAGATCTTATTGATCTGCATGATTGTGGTGTTCGTCTTCTCCGATCCACTGTTGGTCACATCGTATATGTGCAATATCACATCCGTCATCCTTCTTCCTCCACGAACGTACAAAAATCAACAATCCCTAACCTTAACCGTCGAGCTCCAGCAACCTCCTCCCGTGCTTCTCTCCTATTTTGGCGGAAATTTCTCCCCTTCCGCCTCCGGGTTCCGGCACAGCTTCTTGCTCCGGCGTCCCTCTTCTGTTCCCTCTCCTTCCTCGCCCAACTTTACCACTACCAAGAAATGATTCGCTCTGGGTTTTTTCTTCCCCTTTTTTTTCAATTTGCTGGCGCGCAGTTGATTTTTTTACACTTTCCTTTTCGGTTTAAAACCTTTTTCTCTTTTTTCCCCTCTTCTTTTATTTCGATTTTATTTTTCTGTCGACTCGCTCGATTTGGAGTTTGGACTTGGCGGTGCTGGATCTTCTTTTTCGATCTTGCTGTTCTTTGCTTGAGTTTGGGGGAACTGTAGATTAAAAGCTAAAAGACGTCCTGGAAACTGTAGAAATCAACATTGTAAAACTAATTCAGCATTAGGGTTATAGATATAATATGGTATTTTATCAAACATGTATCTTTATTGTTTTTTACATCAAACGTGTTCCTATATTTTGGAAAAAGGATCAAACATACTATTTTGTTAAAATTTTCATCCAAAAATCGTTAACCACAACCAAACTTTCAGTGGCGTAGCCAGGATTTTACGCAAGGGATGTCATTTTCTTAATTAAAATAAATATATCTTATATGATAAATTATTAATCCTATGTAGTGACTCACAACGTTTTTTCCACTATATATACATTTTAAAATATATGTTCATATAAACTACCAAAGATATTGTTGTCAATATATCCTACCATATTATTCATGATTTTCCTTATCATTCCATCCACAGAAAGTTACATTAAAGTCACTCTAGTGATTATGGATAGCCGAGGAACATCAATTGGAATGAGATGATAGAGGTGAACGACTTAGTAACCATGTTTGAGTGGATAGTTAGATATTGGACGCATAATGGTGTTGTGGGAGGTTAAGAGTCACCTCAATTTAGAGTTAACAATTATCTAAAACATTAGGGATTTAAGATATTGAGTTAATCATATATGAATTTTATTTAATTCGTGTACAAACTATGATATTGTTGATATAATTGAAAATAATTTAAATGTACGTTCTTAATTTAGTTTGATAATAGAAATAATTAAGTACAAGGAATAACCTTCTATATTCAAATTCCATTGCAACCAACGTACTATCTTAATACTTATTAAACATACAAGTGGATTACTGTTCCATAAGAGATAATCTAACCTACAGCACCGTCACTTTTTTCTTTCCTCCTTACGGTCACCCGCACCTCCTTCGCCTGTGAGTTTAGGGTGGGATTTGGGTTGGTATTAGCATAATAATGACCCCCAATAGTAGTACCTGCAACCGTATTAGTGGAAGGAAAGAAGAAGCAGCGGTCTAACTAATTTTGTTGCTTTTTCCATTAAAAAATAATTTTGTTGCTTTGTTAGGTTGTTGAACACTCTTAAGTCTTAATCAATATAGTCAAATTCGTGTTTCTACGTAGAAGCGTAAAACCGTAAGTTTTTAAGATTTAAAGCACTCTTTTAACTACATTAGTTATAAAAACTGTGTTTTTGCATAGAAACGTTTTGGTGACCTATACGCATAAGAGCGTAAGTTTTTCAGTTTTAAAACGCTATTTTGACTAAATTGATCACAACACTTTATATTAGTAATTTTTTATAGAGAACTACAGCTGGATTGAATCACGATTAAAAACTATTGCAAACTTACAAGAACATATTTTGGTGTTTAATCATTTGAAAAAGTTTAATGATATTTTAGTTTGTGTGTTTACAACGATTATCAGCTTACATGACACACATCAATCCTGAAAGAGTATCATTATGAAGAAGCCAATAGTGGCAAGGCTCAAGGGAACTGTTACATTGCACACAAGCTCATTTAGAATCCACAAGTTCGAGCTCCGCCTTCATCTACTGGCATAACGTTCTCACTTGCGTCGAGGTGCTCAAAATCAAGCCTCTCCAAATCCCCAATTTTATTGATCTGTTAACAACCTGAAGTTTCCTGATATGCAGTTAAAAAATGAGATAAAAAAAACTTTACCCTTTTTATTTGTTCTTCTCTCCGAAACTAAGTATTCGATGAAAGGAAACTAATTCCCCACATCAAGAGCAGTCGCCGCCTCCCAGAAGGCATTCATCGTCGTCTCATCACCTAAGTAAAGGCCATCTTCAATTTACAACCTTACCTCTATGATTCGGCTTCGACAAGATTTTGGGAACTATCCATCTTCTTGCATGTTAAGTATAATGATTTTTTAAGGAGAATACGAATCTTACCCTTTGATATGAAAAAATGGGAGAAGAGAGTAGTAATACAGAGGCGGTTGGAGCGACCACACCATTCGTGCGTGGGTGATGATGTCGGTTTCCAAAGTTGAAGATGGAGGCATCTAATTTCATCTAATTCGTATCTAGATCTATCATGTCTCTTTTTCGATCATGTATGCCAAAATGGGTTAATCAAAGTGAGCGAAACTGGGATAACATGGATCTGAACGAAAACTAAAATGGCGAAAGGAGGATGCATGAAGGGAGGATACTGATCAGAAGAAGAAAATCAGGATGTGATGAGGTAGGAGTCACGAAAAAAATGTTAACAAAAAATCATTTTCTTATTTTTTCCTTGAGGGATTAAATTTATTAGTTTATTGATTGAAATTTTTTTTCCGTTTAACATAAGAACTCCACTTGAGCCCAATGCTTCCACCATCTCACTTTTACTAGATTACCTACTCCTACACAAACGGGCTGATAAATAACTATCCAATTATAAACTTGAAGCTGCAGCAAAGTGCGGCCAAAGGCGCCCTAGTATATATACTAATTTTTAACTATTTCTCCAATCCAAGGGGGTGCAGGGGCACCCCCTCCCTACACACTCCCTACGGCCTCCGCCCCTGCAAACTTTGGTTTGGGCGACACAAATGTCTAAAATATCCCAAATAATTTCACTTTTTATAATATTTTTGTTCTTTTGTATAGCCAAATAATTCTAATAATTTCACTTTGATGAGACTCAGGGAAATAAAACAAGGGACAAAACTGACATTTTCCTCTCATTTGCCGATATCGGATTGTTTAAATCTTGGTTCAATCATGGTTGACGATTTTTTCAATTCAAATTTTAACAAAAGGTCATGTTTGATAATTTTTCCAAAGTACAGGGGCATGTTTGATGTAAAAAATAGTAGAGGGGCATGTTTGATAAAACGACATAGTAAATGGGCATATTATACCTATGACCCTTCAGCATTATGGCTTGTGAAAGTATATGAAAATTTACATGGAACAAGTTTTCGAAGTAGTTGCTTAACGGTATAAGGTGTGACAACTTAGACGTTCCCTGATGAACCTTAGAGTGCTAAGATGGGTATTTCAGTCCGTCCCTACTAAAGCGGCTTAGGCGACGCGGTCAGAATTCCACGGGAGAGATATATGATTCATAAGAAATCGATCTTAACTGACAAGACGTGTTTTGGGGTGAAATTGAGAAGTTCTTGAGAACTCCAAATTCAAACGAGCTCCCAATGGAGTACAACAAGCCAAGGATATGTGATCTCCTGGAAGTGACCTTGAATTGTACCTCAAGTCAAAAATCGTGAGAGTCTCCATACAAAGCGGATAATATCTTGCTCGAGAAAAGATCTGGGATGTTACATAAGATTTTTAAAATAAAATGAAATGAAATAATTGATTCAACTAGCATTCAAGCTATTGGCATACTATCGGCATATTATCGTCAAACATAACATGTCAATACAAATTGTATGTTTAATCACATAAAACTAACCGACATAATTCTTATAATAGCCCGAGACGGGGTGACCAGGATTGTGATAGAGTCGTGAACAAAGTTCACTTTCCGAAAAGAATATTTTCACCCTCAACAAGCCTAGGGTTACAGGAAATTTCTCCCGAGGATAAAACTATCACCACTTTAGGTTCCAGGCTCAAGAACACTAAAGCATACTTATAAATTTTTGGAAGAAAGAAGAAAAATTTGTTTGATGGTTTGTGGCATCATCCACCCCACACATATTTATAGGGGCCGAATCCATGCATTGTTTCATGAAAGGTTGCATTGATCCATACGAAATGTTGCCTTTATCCATATGAAAGGTTGCCTCTATCCATATGAGCGGTTATCCTTATCCATATGAAGGGTTGCCTCTATCCATAAGGTTATCCTTATCCATAAAATAATGCAACCGCCACTAGGCCAAAGGGATGTGTCCCTCCACGGAATTAGAATATCGGTTCGGTCGGTCTAATCCCAAACCGGTTGGTCGGTCCAACCCAAAACCGGTTTGACTTGGTTAGTCCGGTTCAACCAAATTTCCAACATTCCTCCCCCATTTAGTGTATTCTTAGAATTCACTAAAATCACAACATTCTTCTAACAAAACTTTAGCATAAATGAAAATGTCGTGACGATTGAATTTTCACCTTAGTATATTACACTTGACGAATACTCGAATACAAAGGGTGTCGATAACGATTGAACCCATTGACTCATATGAATATTCGAAGATAATATACACTTAAGTTTTCAAAACTTCTAAGCGCCTTGACACTATTACCCGCCATGTGTCCCATCCTTCTCATAAGCGCACACGAAACCAAAGTCCGGGTTTCTTGAAGCGGCTACACTTCATGCTTACGTAGGTCAAATCTTTTATTCGTGTACCCACATAATACACTTTGTCAAAGATTCAATTAAGAAGTTTTGAACTTCATCCTCTTCTCTCATGCAGATAACAAGCACATACCTCGGGATGACAAATTTTGTGCTTCAATTTCTGATAATAAGCTTTCCACATTGAATTCAGCCTCTAACGTTGTATTAGAGGGGAATTGGGTGTCCCAATACCAGAAATTATATGGACTTTAATCCATCCTTTCACAGACTTAATCACCAAGTCACTAGTTAACCACTTCGTCAAATGATCAACCAAATTAATTCGAGTTTGACCATACTGTCTAGACACAACACTATGAATGATCAGTTCACAGCTTTTACCGTGCCATACTCCCACATGACCGTACTTATCATTTTCACTTGACTATATGCCTTAGCAAATTAGCATTACTATCACAAAAGATAGTAATAGGTGAGATTGGTTTAGGCCATAAATATATGTCATAAACCAAACCTCTCAACAATTATGTCTCTTCTCTAAGAGAAATCAAGGCCACACAAACTTTGATTCCATAGTGAAACTTAGTGATGCAAGTTTGCTTTCTAGAGGCCCAAATTATGGCACCTCTCCCAAGCAAGAGGACCCATCTCAATGTTGAAGTATCACCTTTAACATGAGAAATCCAACTAACATCAACAAATCCTTTCCAAAATTGATGGAAAGCCACTATAAGTCAATACAGTGT